TTTGTATTATGCGGTGAAGGTTAGATGGAAGTTAAAGGGTTAGAGAATTTAGCAAACAATCTAACATCTCAGTGAATTGATTATTTAATTGAATCATTCATAATTAATGTTGATTATGAGTTTGATCTCGGAATTCAGATAGGAAATTGGGAAATAATTGGAGAAACTTTTCATGATAAGTTCCATCTTCTTGGCTCTTGTAATCATTTTCATTTCTCGCAAGAACGGTCAATAGCAAACGTTGATAAAAGTACAATTCTCTATCTTCTACATTGAGAAAACAGTGTCTGATCAAGATATCTTTTGATTGTTTAACGATGTAGTTAGATAGGTCGTCTCAGTGGATTTGTCGAAAGGTGTTAAGAGATCTGGATGGAGAAATCAAATATCTTTAAAAGTATTCATCGTATTTTAAGCCTTTGAATTTGGGGGAGTGAAGATGCGATAAATATTTGGTGATGGTATCATTGTAATATGGGTTGTTATCATCTTTGCACATGATATAAGCGGGAAGTATCACCCGTGTTCTCATAGGAGAAGGATTGGTGGTGAGGAATTGGACATTCGTGAATGAGTTACAGATCGTATGTCCTAGTAGTAAGAACATAAGCTTCATGGAACTCAACTTGCGTGCGATGATATGCTGCCTCAGGAGATCATTTTCGTAGATGTTAAATATGTGTGAAGGTTCTGTCTTCACAATGTATTTCGACATATATCTAGTGAAACCTTTGTCAGTTATATGTTGACAGTTTATATGCACATCCCATAGTAATAGAGTCAGAGGATGATATGAGACAACCCACAAATTGGCTTGAGTTAGGCATTTGTAGATATACTGGAAGTTACCTTCTTCATAATGTGTTGTCAAACTGAAAAGTCGAGGAAATCCTTTCTTGCAAGTTTGATCTGGAACCGGAGGTCCTTGGCAATGTAAGTTGCAAGTGTGGATCTGATTTGCAATAACTGCAGTGTAAATTCGGATTCGTATAAAGTATCCAGAACTGTCAAACATATAACATCCGTAGAGATCATTTCTTCTATCAAGTTAGTTGTCTAATAGCAACTATGGGTGTGAGCGGCTCTTCTGTTCTAAAATTCAACTCAATCAAACAAATCGGTAATCTTACCAAATCCTATGAGATCTGATTTTTTATAGAGTTCTTTTTTTAGGGATTAGAATCTGTAGACGAAGTAGTTCATGCAGTGAAAGGCCTATTCGAGGATAATATGTCTCAATTATCTGAATTAGCAAGTATATTCATTAGGTGAGACTAGCGATGTTCAGCCATACTTAAAGTAATGAATAAGGTTGATAAACCCAGTTTATTGATCATTGAGTTCAGGTAGAGTTGCTTTCGATGGAAATATGTGTTGCCAGTTCTTATGAAAGAAGGAATGGGGACTGTACTCGATTCATCAATTATATTATGCGAAAAGTAGGCACTCGGCTGGAGTAATTGCCTTACCGTTAGTAAGTTCATTTCATTATTTCTGAGTAGATTCTTTTGTCAGAGCAGTCGTTGCATGTTCTGATGGTGCCTTAACTTTTCTAGTTGCAAATAAGATCACGAAGGTCAATAATGGTGAAGCCTTCATCTTGAATCAATATTCATCAGCTATAACTTAATGTACTTACCGTAAGTTTCATCACAGAATTCATCATCAACAGATTGATCTGACGTGTCGTGAAAGTGACCCTTTCCATCAGTAAAGAGATCTGGGAAAAGAAGGGGTTCCAGGTTCATATTGTAGGTCAAGATAGGAATCCATAAGTTTTATGACTCACAGATGAATCCAGCTATCAATCTGGTGTAATGGAAATCTTTATCGTGGACTTCATCAGGAAGATCGTAGTTGGCACTACTACATCTCGTGAATTGAAAGGAGGAGCGGTAGGGTCATTCAGAATGTGCCAGACTCTTAGGAAAGGTTCATTCAGATACGGATGTCTACGAGATGAGGATAACAGATCAGTGAAAAGTTAAAGGTATGGATTATTTTACATTAACCAGAAAGCTGCACGTTATAGGATCGAGTCATCAGTCAAATGGTCAGACTGGTTCAGGGTAGTAGATTTGAAGCCAAGATCATTAGTGGGTTCTAGGATAGCATCTAAAGTTCTGGAGTATAAGACATATGCTCTTATATTACGGGAGGTGATCTTTTTAAGACACAATAGAGGTAGACAGATGATAGATGCTTTCTTCTGTATAATGGTATAGGTAAAAGGTGAGAAAAGTTAAATCTAGTGGATAAGTTTTTACACGATTTGCAAGTTGGAACTCTAAATTCCGGAATTCAATCTTGGTTTGGATTAAAGGAGAATGATATATCAATTAAGAGGATTCGTTGTTGTATAAGATAAAGGAACGAAGGGTCGTAGAATGACCAAGAGGTTTTCTCAGGATACAACAATTTTTCATAGTATACACATGCGATTCTGGGATATTAAGTCAGAATGTTATTTTGAAAGCGGTCGTATAACCTCTGGAATTTGGTTGAAGGTCTCCAGTGAGGTAGTCGAACGTTCGTTTGATTGATTAGATCAACGTTCATGATGGTATCCTCTAAGTTTAAGTGAGATCTAAGGTTATGTCGTTGAATAAAGAAGTTCGAAACGGATTTGTATTTGGTATCAAATACATAAATATTGTTGATCAGATGGGCCATTTATTCACTAAGTATTATTTATCAATAGTTCTTTTTTAATTTTTATTTTAAATATATATTTTTTTTCTTTGTGATCAGAAGAACAATTTTTTCTAACTTTGTTTTTTTTTCGTGATTTTATTTGCATAAATTCATTTATATTCGGGCTAACACAGATAATTTGAATGATGATAAATGAAATATTTGTCAAACAAACTGATTAAACAGCAAAAAAAAAAGAATCTAAATCGGATAACGTATTGTTCATTGGGAACATAATGCAAAAGACTGATAATTATATAAAAGCAGATAGGTTCATTCTCATTTATTTAAAGAAAAAAATTTTTTTATTTGTTTAAACTTAAAAAAAATATCGCAATAAAAAAAAAACTTTATAAATGTCCCAATTATTTATTTACTTTATTAAATCATTTAAAAAAAATGACACATTGAACTTGTAATAAAAAAAATCATAAATGTTAAATAAAAAAATAAACAATTTTTTTCTTAAATAAAAAAAACCAAAAATTTGAACGATTCCAAAATTAAAAAAAAATTAATCTTAAAAACGATTAAGAAAAAAAAAAGGAAAAATGAAAATTCATTCCATTTCTTCTTGCAGAATTTCTACCAAGTTTTTAGCATTCGAAAAAGGTATCACATTGACTTCAACCTCTAATAAAGCATTGACATCTGAATGTGGGATGGGGTTCGCTTTGAGTGCGATCAACAAACTCGAGGATATAGAATGTCTTGACGTTACAGTTTGTCACATATAAGCCAATGTGGCTCAGGATCTCCTTAACGAAGACCTTCTGATCGTCTGACGAGTTGGTCTACTAGCAGGCGTACAGGCGATGTTATTTTGTCTACTCCATGGTAGCGTTATTGTTGAAGCATTCGTGCAGGTTTGATTAGGATAACTTATTAACGAAATATCTTCTAACTTGAGGATGTGATTGCCCAAGGCAGGTTCGTCTGAAACAGTCGAGGTATCAGGGAAGGTTCGTAATCAATCATACCAACCAAAATCGTAGTAGTTGATCTCATCGTCTGATTTATGGCATTGGTTTTGTTGGCGAGGTAAGTGTTGTCCAGATCGTGCCTAACTTCAAGGATATATTCGTTTGGTTCTCTATCACCTAACCTTTCCTCAATTTTAAATTCAAGAACGGAAAGACCGTTCACATTTCTGATAGTTTGTGTCGTAGAACCAGAAACAATAACATTGAGACCTATTGTTGGAATGTCGTTATATTCTAAATCAAGCGTTTTTATGGAGATGGCGTTAACCTGCGACAAAAAAGAATTAATGTTAATTTTTTTATAAAATATCAAAAATAATTTGATGATAAATTTCTTCATTCTCATTTGTATCACTTATAGTGTACCTATCATCACAAGCCACGAACTTTTCTTTTAAACAAATTACGTTACCAACCTCATAAGGTTTAATTTCTGTTGGAGTCGTTCAATCGGTTGGAATGAAAGCTTTAATCCGCAGGAATGCTATCTTGTTAGAGTCTAACAATGCCAGTGATTTCTTTAATGGTATAGCTGACAGTTTGCCTTTCTCAGGAATCGTGAACGTAGCAAAAAGTGATGCATTTTTTTAGACAACAAAAAAAAAAAAATTTAAAAAAATATTCGTATTTAAAAAGTTAACAAAGGAGGAAAAAAAAATACTTTTTTTCAGAGGAAATAAAAAATACTTTTTTTCAGAGGAAATAAAAAATACTTTTTTTTTCGCAACTTATATATTAATTAAAATGATATCAATAAATCTTTTTATCTGCAAAATCTACATGAAAAAAAAAGATTTTAATAAATGTTATCATTACACGCAAATATGAACATCTCAAATACAAAATCTTGTATATAAAGGACATGCATACGAAGGGATGGAGGGTGGGCATTTCTATCTAAGATAATGAAATTGTGATTAGGATTATTAGGTAGATTCCTAGTAGGATTACTCTTACTAGAAGCAAAAACATGGAGAAGTATTTGCCTAATACGGATGAGTAAATCATTCCATAAAAGAGATTTCTTGCAAGTGTTTTGAAGATCATTGATCAAGGGCTTAATGGGAACAGTAACATAAATAACATAAATAAAATCAAAATGAAGTATTAAAAAATGATCATTTGCTTTATTAAGAATACTGTGTATCGGACGAATTTTTGTGTATCGAACCCGATCAGGAAAAATAATTACTAGCGTTTTCTTTTCTTCGATAAAGAAAAAGCGATTTTTTTTGTTTTATTTTAAAACTGTAAATATAGAATGTCTAATCTATTCAAAGCTTTTTATGATAATTTAAAAAATAAATAAATAAAATAACCATTTTAATTGATATGACTTCCTATAATATAATTATCTCATAAATAATCTAATGTAAAACTTTTTTTTATCGTCTATTGTCTGATAACCTAAATACAAATATTAATAAATTAATAAATTAAAATAAATTATATATTGTATTTCTTTTCTAAATATTCAGGTTGTAGTTCTTCAGGCAGAACTCTAAATTCTTTATCATCATCATCATCGTCAATGTCAAGATTATGTTGAATAGATAAGTTACTAGGATGAAATTCTTTTGAATGATCACCTTCTTCTACTTTAGTATTTGTTGAATTTCTACTATAGTCATAAGAAGATTGTGATGTTGTAGCACTATTCATTGTTTCACGTCTTCTGGTGAATCCAACATCTGTAGATTCTCCCGGAGTTTCTATTACTCCTTCCATCATTTTTCTGTTTTTGTTAAATCTATAGAACCAAAATAATGATCCTCCTAATAGAATTAATCCAATGAGACTACCAATTAATACCCCAACAATTATTCCCGTATTTGATGATTTATTTTCTGAATTAACGGTTTCAGGTGGCACTGATATCTCAATGTCCATTGATGTTATCCATTTATAATTATCTTTATCTTTGGTATCTAAAGCATATAGATTAGATGTCGGTCCTTTGTCTGTGATATTCCCTATATGAAAAGTTGAATTATTAAATTATTAAATATTAGTTATTTATGCGTTAATTGCATTTAAACGTAAATATGCTTACCAAAAGAAATAATCATCTGATCTCCAATCAAATACGCAGAGTGATACGCTATTGTCGGAGGAGTAGTTCCGCTTGCTTTAGGTTTACTCCACACATAATTATTATTACTGGTATTTAAAACTGCCAAATCAGGACTTGCCGCAGTATATCTACCATCTGCTGAAATCAAAAATGATCCACCGTAAATAATAATACGTCCATCCGTTGCTAAACAATTTTTTTTTAAAAAAAATAAAATAAATCTTATTGTTAATTTCCATATATATATATATATATAATTATTATTTAACAAAATACATACTTATAACAGCGGAATGGCCACCGCGTGGATTTGGAATTTCACCTGTAGCTTCCTATAGATAATTTTATGCATTAGAATCAAAATTCTACCTATGATGATATAAAAATCGATTTTAATTCACATCTCTTACAATGTTATTAATCCAAGCAGCAGAGTTGGTATCATACATATTCAACTGCAATTAAAAAATTAAAAATATATATATATATATTTGAATCATGTTAGAAAATGAGTCATCTCTCAAAAAAAAAAAAAAAAAGTTCAAACCTTTCCTAAATTTAAATGTAATAATAACCTGAGTCATAGGAACATAACGGTTATTTGAATTACTTCCACCAATGTAAACAATAACACCATTACTTAAGATCGTAGCGGAAAAATCATTTCTTGCTTCAGGAGCACCATCTTGAGTTCCATAACTCCAACTCCAATTAACAGTATCCAAAATTGCCATATCATTTAAAAAAAATGAATTCGGTGAATTTGTTTCTGGTCCCGTTGATCCACCAAAAATATACATTTTACCTGCACTATCAATAACAGCTTGAGTTTGTTTTCTCCTTAAAGGTTCATCACCAGTAAGAGTTGAAATTTCAGGTTTGGACCATGTATTACTTTTTGTATCATATACAATTACTATACTACTGGATTCAACGGGAGTCATTTGCCCACCGAAAAGAACAAATAAATCTTTATTTGCACCTCCGGCCACCGCAGTTCCCCAACTTGTAAACAAATTGTCTAGACCTGTAAGTTGTGTCCATGGTAATGTTTCCATATCTGTTGAAGTTAGTGTAGATATATCCAAATAAAAGAAATCTGATATTATAGGTTCTGGCTGAGAAACGAATCCTCCCATATAATAAATTTTATCACCAATATGTGCTGAAGTTTCTGCAAATCGGGGTAGAGGTGTAAAGCATATGACGTCAAGAACAAACGAACTTAATATCAGTGTTATTGAAAATATTAACCGTACAAATGACGGTTTATATTTAAATGCCATTTAATATCTATATATATATTATTTAATATAATTAAGTTGTCGTTATTCTACCCCAAAATTTTTAAAGAATGTAAATTAGAAAGTTTTCTAAGGATTTTTTTTTTTATAAAAAAAAAAAAAAGAAAGAAAGAAAAAAAGAAATTAAATATAAACTATTCTAAAGTGTGGTGTTCATATTGCAAAAACTTAAACTCTCAATTTTCCGAATTCTAACGAACAAATCCAACATACGAAAGTCGTGTAACTTTTCTCATCATTATATATATTTATATGAAAAGTATTGTAGTTCAAAACGATGCAATATTTAAAACAAATCATAAACGAGGAAGGATTTTTTGTTTCGATACATCCCATATATTTATGTACAACATTACTTTAATTACCAAATATGGCTAAACCATGTACCCTAAACTCAACTTCAAAACGTGTTACGTTTCATATATATATATTTTTTTATTTTTATCATAACATAAATATTTATTTTTACATAGTTAATTTTAAACTTTCGGAATGTAAAAATGCGCCCGGTCATGTGAGATCCAAGAGAGCAAGTTCTTAAAACCTTCCGCTGAAAGCCATCACACCTTTTACCCGAGTAGGCTTAGTTTATGTCCTTTTTAAAATTGATTTCTTTATTAAGATAACAATGTGTTTACACAAAATTATATTAGACCAAAGCCAAGTGAAAAATTTTTGCTGTGCGCACATACCTTCATATTTATTGGTTTATATATTATATGTTATTGTAAAGTCCACCTGTTTTAAAATATCAAATCATGATCGATAAAATGATTTGATAAAGCAACAAGTATAATGATAATTTACTCAAAATTTCATCCAAAATTTCTATAACTTGTAAATTTAAATGAAATGATATAAGACCTAAGGAAAAAAAGCTTGAAAAAATAAGCTAATATTTAAATCTAAACATAATTCAGCATACAAAAAAAAATTGTTTTTAGTTCTTTCCTTTTAACTTCAAAAGATCCTAAAATATTTTAATTTTATATATAACAAATTATAAAAAAAAAATACTAATAATTTATTTTTAAAACTAAATATATAAAAAATTCTATATTTCTAAAATAATAAGTTTAAATAAATTACTTAAATTTAATTATTTTGTTAAATATCTTAAACTATTAAAACATTAATTTATATATTAATTTAAAAGTAATGTTTTATAAATTTACTTAAAATTAAAACAGTAATTTAAAATAGCATTTTAATTTAAAATAAAAGAAAAAATCAAAAAACAAATTATTAATTTTGAATTTTTGAAAAAAAAGTAAGAATTTATATGACTTTTATTATTTATAAGATTTATTAATTAACTATAATTTGATTAATCAAGAAATTACAAATGATTTTAAAATTATTATAGATGATATTATATTTAATTCTATTTATTATAATCTTAACATATTAATTAGAATTAAGATATATGATGAATTACTTAATATAATCAATTTTTAAATGTGAAATATTATGTCTAGTTTCTGATATATATTTTTTGTTAGACAAATAAAATTTCTGGCAGAGCAGAATTGTTAGACAAATTTTTTATTAGATTTATATGAGTCATGAACTAGCAAAAAGGACCTTTAGGACTCCCTGTCGAAATTTTTTTACTTTATATAAACTAAACATATTCAGTTATACAAGATTTAATTTCTAAATCATATAAGTATAATAAATTATTGATTTATTTCAATTGAAATTACCGTCATCAAAAAATGATTAACAATCTAAAGTTAGAACACTGCAGTATGTATATTTAAGAAGATGACGATATATTTTTTTTTTTTTAAAAAAAAGCTATTTAACTAAAGTTTAGGATATATGATATCCTGAAACAGTTTATCAACAAATTTTCAAATATTTTTATACAAATATACTTGATGTATTAATGATAAAGGTTTAGATGAAAACGTAGCTATTAGAACTAGGGATGCTAATGATTACGATTAGGGTTCCGCAATTCGATTTAATATTTTAATATTTGATTTGATTTGATCAAATTCAAATCAAAGAATGATTTATTTAATCAAATCCAAATCAATGTTTGATTCGATTCGATCAAATTCAAATCAAGTATTCAAATATTTGATTTGATTCGAATCAATAGTAAAGCCATCTCCAAAGCTTCAGGAATAGTGTTCTGCAAAAAATCCGATTCAATCCGAATCTAATCCGGATCCAGATTTTGATTTGATTCGATCTATCAGATCCAGATTGGATTCAGATTTGGATTTAATTCAATCCGACGGATTTGGATTTGGATTCAGATTCGATCTGTCAGATTCGGATTTGGATTCATATCTGATTTGTTGGATTTGTAATAAAAAATGCTGCCCTGAAGTCGGACGCAGCATTTATTATTAAATAATTAATTTTTATTAATTTTTAATAACAAAATGCCGTCCCGAAGTCAGAGTCAATATTTATTAATAAAAAATTAATTTTTATTAATTTTTAATATCAAAATGCTGTCCCAAAAGTCGGAGGCGGCATTTATTATTAAAAAAATTAATGTTTAATAATAAAATGCCGTCCTGAAAGTCGGAGGCGGCATTTATTATTAAAATAATTAATGTTTAATAATAAAATGCCATCCCGAAAGCTGAACGCAACATTAATTATTAAAAAAATAAAATTTTAATAATAAAATGCCACCCAAAAGTCAGACGCAGCATTTATTAATAAAAAAATTAATTTTTATTAATTATTTATATAAAAATGCCGCCCTGAAAGACGGATGCAGCATTTATTATAAGGATTTTGATACTAGAGTGTCCAGCATCCAGTAATAAAAAATTTAATTTTTATTAATTTTTTATATTAAAATGCCGCTCTGAAAGTCAGATGCGACATTTATTAATAAAAAAATTAATTTTTATTAATTTTTTATATTAAAATGCCGCCCCAAAAGTCAGACGTGGAATTTATTAATAAAAAAATTAATAAAAATTAATTTTTATATAAAAATGCCGCCTGAAAGACAGATGCGGCATTTATTAATAAAAAATTTAATTTTTATTAATTTTTTATATAAAAATGCCGCCCAGAAAGACGGATGCAGCATTTATTAATAAAAAATTTAATTTTATTAATTGTTTATATTAAAATGCCGCCCCGAAAGACAGATGTGGCATTTATTAATAAAAAATTAATAAAAATTAATTATTTATATTAAAATGCTGTCCCGAAAGTCGGATGCGGCATTTATTAATAAAAAAATTAATTTTTATTAATTTTTTATATTAAAATGCTGCCCCGAAAGTCGGATGTGGCATTTATTAATAAAAAAATTAATTTTATTAATTTTTTATATTAAAATGCCGCCCAAAAGTTGGATGTAGCATTTATTAATAAAAAATTTAATTTTTATTAATTTTTTATATTAAAATGCCGCCCGAAAGTCGGATGCGACATTTATTAATAAAAAAATTAATTTTTATTAATTTTTTATATAAAAATGCCGCCCTGAAAGTCAGACGCAGCATTTATTAATAAAAAAATTAATTTTTATTAATTTTTTATATAAAAATGCTGCCCCAAAAGTCGGACGCGACATTTATTAATAAAAATTTAATTTTTATTAATTATTTATATAAAAATGCTGTGTCTGACTTTCGGGGCGGCATTTATTATTAAATAAATTAATGTTTAATAAAAAAATTCCGCCCCGAAAATCAGATGCGGCTTTTATTAATAAAACAATTAATTTTTATTAAAAAAACAACAAAATTGTTGTTTTTTTAACATTAAAACGCCGTTCCAAACATCGGAGGCGGATTTTTGTTAAAAAAAAAACAATTTTGTTGTTTTTTAACATTAAAACGCCGTTTTGAATGTCGGAGGTGGATTTTTGTTAAAAAAACAACAATTTTGTTATTTTTTTTAATATTAAAACGCTGTTCCGAACAGCGGAGGTGGATTTTTGTTAAAAAAATTTTTTTGATCTGTCAGATACAGATACGGATTTGGATTTGTCAGATTCGAATACAGATTCGGATTCGGATTTGTCAGATTTAGATCAAATCAGATTCGGATTTGTCAAATTCGAATCGAATCAGATTCGGATTTTTCAGATTCGGATTGAATCAGATTTTGCCAAATCTGATCTGATCTGATCTGTGCAGAACATTATTCAGGAGTGATTCTTACTAAGAAAACTATAGTAAAAAGTGCCTCCGCAGCTTCAGAAATACCTTTTTTACTAAGAAAACAATAGTAAAAAGCACCTCTGCAGTTTCAGAAATTCCTTTTTTACTAAGAAAACTATAGTAAAAACGCCTTCACAGCTTCAAAAATGCCTTTTTCACTAAGAAAACAATAGTAAAAAATGCTTTTGCAACTTTGAAGACGCTATTTTACTAACAGTCACCAGACATGTCACATGTCGATCATAGTAAATGACATTGATATAGATGTTGATCATTTGATCGACAAAATCTTATATGATTTTATGCTTTTTTTTTTTACTTCGTGATATGTAAATTGTGTTACATTTCTAACCAAATTGAACAGTTATTACATCAAAATGTTCGTTGACTTTTCGCGAAAATTTTTATAAACTTTTAAAAGCAAATGGTTCAACCAGTTTAAGAAAATCTTGTTGGAAAAATCATCTATTATTTGATATATTTATAATATAAATAATCAAAACTTTTAAATTCCTTTTTTTTATGTCTATTTAATACTTTTCAACTATTTTTATTTAACTTTAAACAAAAAATTACATTATTTTTGGAATAAAAACACAC